CGGCTTAAAGATGGTGTTGCAAGGAGTTGAGCTGAAGGAGTAGATGGTGTACTGCGAGGATAAGGATGTGGTGAACTGTGACAGCAGTCAAACGTCACCTTATCCCAGGGTATTAAGTAAGCTTGCCCTCGAACTGTAAGGATGCCACTGAAGGCTTGGGAGATACTGTAAGGACAGCGAAGAAGCTATATTGGTATGTACGTTCTGTTGGAAGAATAAGCTTGGGAAGGAAGATAACATATTATCTCACGCATTACTATTTGACATTCCAGTAACAATGTAATGAATGGTATATATGTATCTTGACAATATCAAAACTTAAGAGAGAATCATCAGAGTAATATAGTGGTGGAACATAATTGAAGCATGAAGTCAAGACTTTGCAAATCTAGCTATAAACTACTACCTAGTTAACAGTTGTGATACTGCATAAGTTCACTATACAAATCGAGTTAAATTTTGAGCTAAATATTGCACACACCTTTTTTTCCAACATGAGCGAAAGATGTTTGGAATGTTACTGTTTGTTTTACGCTGCTTATCTCAAATGATTTTTTTGAAATGCCCGTTTAATGAAATCTGTAGTAAGCGCGATGCGGCGAAAATATAATCATTACCTTTGGAGAATAAATAACTACTGATTGTGCACTGGAATTTTTGTTTTTATTCTATATTCTACCGACAAGGTGATGAAACAGTCATTGTAAACATTGCTATTCCAGCTGTTAACAATGAGATCATCTTACAGGCGATAGCTGTTTCTCATGTTTAAAGTTTCCAATGTTACCGTTGTTATTTTCAATGAGTTTTGGGCGGAAATTTCAGCCTATGAACAATATAGATCTTTCATTATATGGACAGTCTGATTATTACGTTGTCCAGCGAGATGAGCAATAGAAGTTGACAGTCACGACAAGAAAAAGGCCTTTTCATTGTTGTGTGACTTTTGGACGAACTGTGTCGTCTCTGATTAGGGATAAATCACCGGGGGAAATGTACTTTGAGAAAACTTTATTGTAAAAGTCGTACCCTGTTTTGTAGTGTTTTGGTTGCTTGATGACCCACTCCATAATTGTCGTTTGTAAAGCGGTTGTCAGCTGTTTTGCGAATTTATCTGTTGCGAGGTTATTCTCGATGGTAATGAGATATGTCACACTAGGTAATCGGATGTGGGCCATATGCAGCAAAGAACGGGCCATCGTGTAGTGTCTTTGATACTAGTGTTGTAAGCAAAGACGACAGGCTAAATCAGACCATAGCTCTTTAGCTTCTGCCGGACCCATAAAAACATTACGTCGGCTTCCCGCGTTTTGCTATGACATCATTTATCAAAGCCTTACAACAAATTTTGTTGTCTAATTTGGTTGCGCTACAAATTATGAGCTTGCTAATAGCATATACAGTTTTAGAATAAATCTGTTACCATTAATACACTGTGGTAAAGGTCCAATTACATCAGTGTGAAGACCTTAGAAGATGTTTTTCTGTCAAGTAGGACAGCTCAAAATTTGCAACTTTACTATTCATTCTTCCAAAAGAAATTTCTGAAATTGCTTTGGTCAAGCATCTACATGTGCGATATTTGGGTTTGTTTTAGGGTAGAATAAATATTGAAAGGTTCTATAGAACCTGCAGCCGCACTGGTATGATGCGGCAATCGTGCGCTAGGTTTCTTCTGCTATCCTAAGTTCAAGAATTTTATGTTCTCTTGGTCAAAGAAGCAGTGTTGATTTTTTGTCCGCTTTATCAGTTTCGTTGTTAATACAATTTTGTAAAAAAAGACCAAACTTCTAAAGAACCACTCAGTAAATATATTTACTAAATACAAGTTTGAGCGCATGCTGATCGATCATTTGCTGTTTCAACTGCATTTTACATATGCGCAATGTTGCAAAAGCTTCACAGTTTACTCAAACTTGAAGGTAACCTGCTCTAGGACTACGCCGCAACGCGTGTGAGCGAAATTCGCGTCATGGAGTCCACAGGCAGATATTGTCTCAGGTTGATTACTTTGAATGTGCGCGACGTCCCAAGGTGATGCCGCTTGGTATTATTGAGTACGTCTCAACATTGTTCAGTAATGTGACGATCACCACCTAGTGTAATGCAGTTAGCCCTTCTTATCAGACTTATAATTGTATGCACATTTTCCCGCACAGTTCCAATTATGTGAAGGTGCAGTCTTTGCAAAAATGTTTCGCCCTCTTTGCAGTTTAAGTACTCAGAATTGCCGTTTGATGTAGATATTACTTGTGTTTGGCTCCTAGTTCTTCTTTTTTTTCTGCTGCATTACGACATACTGTTTTTTAAGGCAGAATGTCGATGCAATGACTCCTGCAATTCACCATGTTCGAGATTTTCTGGATCCTAGCCTTTTCTGTACTGTTCACTACAGTACTGTGTGAATTTCGATCACGTGGGTTGTTTTACTTTTAACGAATCTAATTATAGGTCAATACAACTCTGCTTATTCCATATTTTTTCTGCATAGAAAATATCATTTAACCATTATCTATGAAGGGATGTAATCTATATCCATTTTGTTGCCTTTATCGGTAAATTAGTGAGATACTGTTTATTTCATGAAAAGTATGTGCAACGATACTCGAACCATGCAAATGACTTTACTTGATACGTTAGTTGAACCACGTCCAGCACGCATGCACTAGGTGTATCAGAAAGTTCGCAGATGGCAGACGCTTTCTTCGAACTCTTATTTGTCTACAATGGGAGCTACAACACTACGTATTTAACGCTGTGTTCAAGCTGGAAGGGTCAAGATGGTTGTTCTACAAAAATCACTTGCAGAAACCTTTGACTTGCCTTCACTACTTATTCACACTGACCACGTTTACTTGCTACGTAAGCTCCCCACAAACCTTTTGTGCCAGTTGAGTCCAGGATGGAGTGAGGTACGCACTTGCTATCGTAATTAGCCGATATAAAATGTAGTAGGGTAGTGGTAGTAGTGTACGCTATTCCAATGTACTGGACCGAGAAGTTTTAAAAAAAGGATTCGAACATTGCTTTGGTCACAATCGGGTTTACGCTCCAAGGCCAGCTATAAGGTTATGGTAGTGTTAGGGAAGTTGTCCTTATTTGATGCACTCGCGAAGCTCGTACGGATCCAAAACAATAGGTTCTTACAGTAACTTACAGAAGTGTACGGTAGAATATCCGAAACTCCACCTAGGGAATATTCACGATTATCATATATAATCAGCACCACTACATCTTTAGAATTTTTTTGTCGTGGTTAGATCCAACATCCCTGCCTTGCCCTTGAAGTAGATTATCAATTCTTGCATCTAAAATAGGGAATTTATGCCGGTTAGTTTGGAATGTTTTAACTTTGTGATTGCGTGTCAAGTAATGGAATACTAGACCAGATTTAAGTCATTTTGTGATTTTTGGCCATTACCGTTCGCCTACGATACCCTCCAGTACCATTCAGCTGTGCAGAATGTATGTTTGCTCGTTCAGCATGTCAAATTGCCTCTCGAGCGAAGTTCAGGAGAAATCCAGTTCCTGTTTTATGGGTTCGGCAGAGAATGATGCCGAAGAACTTTTAAAATAAATTCATAGAAATTGCAAGAAGTAGCGAGCATGCGACTTGCAACATATTATGCGTTATCTTTGCTGTAATCCAGGCTAAATTTGATAGCGTTCGTTGGCTGAAAGATGGAGAAAGTGTCGATACGCTAGCAGATACCGGCAGCAAGGACTACGTGGTCAATGGACCATCGTGAGTCGCGCTGTACAACAAAGTATCATCTATCTGTGCTGAATAGATATGTTTTAGACTCATTATTTTGGGCGGCAAACAACATATGGAAGGGGACTACCAGTGCATTGCTGTTGTATCAGAAGTCCGACTTTCCAATCGACAAGTAATTAGAACGACTTTGGTTTCTGATCCTATAAAACTTCGAAGAGCCCGCATCACTAAATTCGACCAAACTACTAATCATGTGAGTTTTTATAGTTCTCTTCTTTGCCTCATCAATTTGTGCTTCATTCCGATTTCTTCCCTAACTTGCGGTACTGATGAATCTTTGCACCCTTTTTTTGATAGTTCAGTGCATTTAAAAG